TTTTGTAAGTTTGCACATTTTGGAGTTCTAGGACTAATTTTCCCTTATGAACACATCTTCAGAGAACCACACAAAGAATTATAGAATATTATGATAAAACCACAGTTGTATAATTACTTACCTGCTTTATTTTCTTGACCATAAATTCCTGGAGGTCAGGATTGTGTCCTGTTTGTCTCTGTGCTCCCAGAACCTACCACAGGTCTGGCACATAGTGCATCTTCACTGAGTCAGATTGGAAGGGATTTTGAAGACGATCTATTGATTTCTATTGTAAGAGGGGAGACACTTTGCTTACTCTTGAGGTTTCTAATTAATGAAAGTAGCTCCACTGGTGATTACATCCCTGCTGTATCTCCACTACTTCACTCTATCCTTCTCAAGGAAGGATAGAGTCTCTTTGAAGAATAAAATTGAGCATGCTGTTCTCCTTGCTTTTTGGGAGACGAGATACCTGCATGAGAATCGGTATATATTAAACTCCAAGTCTTTGATGTGGGCAGGCCTTCCTGGTCCAATATTGCCTATTTCTGGGTAGGTACATCGGAGTCATTCTGGGATTTAAAAAATGGGACTATTGAAATTGTACATTAAATTATGTCCTCCAATTCTATACAAACAATTGGCTCCGTCTTTCATGCCTTTGTCTTACTTTTTAATTTATTTGTAATGGGACAGGGAAGCGGGGTGCTACATATAGAGCTGGATGGAGAACTCCATCTCTCATCTTTTAATTACAGCTGAAGAATCTGAGATCAACAGAAGTAAAGCTTAAGTAAGCAAAATTCAGGTGGTAGTTTTTCAGTACTTTTAGTATGCCAGTCCAGGAAGGGACAAACATATAAACACAACTCAGAGAGATTTCTTCAAAAGCTTGTAACTTGTGAACAGCTTGAAGTCCCACAGTAAGCCAATGTCAAAGCTGAAACTGAGAAGTGGTGTTTCAAGATGTTTACATTCCCTTCTCTTTTTTATACCTATTACCTTTCCTATATTATTTTCCTCTCTGTCTTCTTCTTTTTATGATATAATTAAGCATTAAATAGAGGCCCTTTGACCCTTACCCAAGCCTATGCTTGTAAACTGGTAGGAAAACCTGTTCAGAGGGTTTGCCAATTTTCCGTTGTATAAATGCACCATCCACAGCTAACTGCAAGCTACCAATGATATAAGAACTAGCTTACAAAACTCCTGAAAACTTCGAAGTGAGTTCTGAGTCAGATAAAAGCTGGCACTGGCAGGACTTACTGAAGGATCTTTTCCCCCTCCTTTCAGTTAAATAAGCTAAAATTTACTGAATACTTAAATATAAGATTGGTCTCTGGGCTTACTTGGGAGTTTGACATAGTCCATTCCCTCAGGGAATGTTCAATCTATGTCAGCATGTGTGGAAAGTGTTAGGGAAGTGAAACCACAAACTTGGAGAGGAATCAGGACACTAGCAGTGGCAACATCTACACTGAAAGCTGGAGAATGGGAAAGAATGAGTCCAACTGAGAGGCAGGGTGAAGAATGGTACATGGTTAGGGAAGGGTTGTGTATAGGCTGAAGTGATGAACAAGCAGGATGCAAATGTGGGATTATATGTGGTTTAGTGGGAGCTGAAACAGCCTCCCTCTCCTCCTTAGTTCCCACTCCACATTTCCAGCCTCTTGCTTAACATCTTCATTGGATGTACTATAGGAACTGAATCAAATCAAACATACTCCAAAGTAAGGTTCTTCCTTTTTTCTTTTTATGATATAATTAAGAGCTAAATAGATTTTTCTACTTAACTCAGTCTAGTTGAGCCTAGTCTAAGGTTCTTATTGCCTCTTACTTCTGAGGCTTGGTAATATTTTGAGACATTGATTTTGTTTTCATTTTGTACTTATTCTTTTGTTTGTTACCTTGGGAGAGATATATGGCAGAGTACAAGGAGATGTCTACAGATGATTTCCTCTTTCTACCTTTAATTTCTTAAAGTCTATGCTCTAGAAAGGGGGCAGAGTTTGCTAGCAAATGAATCATGTCTGGAAAAACAGAAAGAAGAGGAAGGCCTTCCCCTAAGAAGAGATCTTCCAGATTCTGGAAAGAAGAGACAGACTGCAGGCAGTATGTCCCAAGATGGTGGGATGTGAGGCTTAAACTCTGGGAACACATGATACTCTAAACATGAGAATGTATAAGGCTTAGCAGGATGGTCCCAGATCTTGGATATTTCTCTGATCTCAAGTATTGGGAAGTAGGAAAGACCCAAGAGGAGGGACCAAATGTATAGGGCTGAGCCATCCCATCAATGAACATAGGTGGCAGCTCTGGAAAAGGACAAAGGAAATGTCTGGTGCACCAATGAAGATGAGCGTAATCAAAGTGTCCTTTGATTGCAGGGAGGCTCCTCACTCCCTGTCATAGGCACCCATAAATGGCCTGGAATTGCATATGCTCTTCGAACTTTGACCTACCCAAGTGAGTGCGGGAAAACCTTGAGAAAGACTAGGGCCTTGAAAGTGAAATTAAATGACAGATTCATATTCTATGTTTTCCCTTATTCTCCACTGTGTTTTGAAGGGCCTGATTTGCAGGCAGCTGTTTCCCCAGTTCTCATGGTAGCTGCATCCCCTTTTATCAATGGAGGACACTAGCAGGAAATTAGAGGGCAGGAGAAGAGGAGAATCTGCAGTGCATTTCCCTTTTTTTCCCTGTCACAGATGCTTCTTTGGCAGTTGCTTTGTGTCTTCTGTGGCAGCCACTCTTACCAGGATGGTTGGGCTGCCAGCAACTCTGTCTTCTCCTTTATTTCCCAAGGTAGGGGCTGTGGTTGCTAATTTCTGGGTTACTTAGCTGGAGTTAACTTCTGAGATCTTCCACTCTTGTGTTTCAATTCATTATATTCAATTGTTTCTGTAGATATTGAAGTGGTCTGTATTTTCCAGGTTAAACCCTGCCTGAAATAATTTAGTTTACAGAAAAGGTGATGTGCTATTTCTTGCATGCCAACTTTTTTGTAGTTTCTAATTAATATCACTAGGTTATTGTCTAATTCACCTATTATATATTCTCAAGTTAGCATTTGACCAAGTGACAGTATTTACATCAATGTATAATGCTTCCCAGACAACTGACATTTGAAATTCTTTTTGGAAAGAATGCCTTGAAGCAAAGATAAAACTACAGAAGGGACATGAGTCTTCAGGTTCAGAAAGCCTTTCTGATCATAAGTTCAATTCTGTATTTGGGTCTAATTCTTTTTAATTATGCCATTGTTTTCTTTATAGGTTGAATAGATCTTCACAGAACACACAGAGCCTTTGAGAAAGGCTTATTCATTACTTTCCCTTCTTGTTTCCCCCTCAGTCACAGTCCTTATGTAGTCCATATCCAATCTAATATATCCCTGGTGGGGCTACATAATAAGTTATTATCAGCCAGGTAAATTGGTTTATTAGGTGTTCCCTGTGATACTCAAGAAGCAACTTGACTTTTGATTGAGCAAATAGTCTTGGGGCTGGAATGGGAGCATGTAGCACCACTCAGAAAGGGGGGCAATTTGGAGACAATGCCACCTTAAGAGGACTAGCCTTGAGTCTAATAAACCAAGTAGCAAGTCAGAACTTTATTGCTTTTGGCCAAAGAACATTGCTAAACTTTCAGAACAAAGGGCAAGAACAAGGCATTCTTCTGAAAATAAAAAATTTCAGACAGGACAAAATGATATTAAGTTTCTGAAAATAAAACATAAATGTTCTAGGGGTAATTTTAGGAAAATAATCATCAGAATAATACCCTACTGTGTCAAACATTAAAATCTGAACAATCTTTCAGTGCATTCTTCTAAGGTTCTGATGCAGGAATAGTTATAAAATGTCAATTCATTTACTTATTCAACACATTTTATGTTGCACTAGGTTCTGTATTTGAAAAGTTACATACATATCTGTGTTGTAAAAAAGTAACTGTTGTTTCCAAAATTGTTTTGAGAACATTCATGAAAACTTCCTCTTCCCTCTACTTTCTCATACTTAAATTAACACACCTAAGAGACAGAATAATAAAGTGTCCTCTGGCTCAGGATAATCCAGGAGTGCTCTGTTGAATTAGGGATTTATATAGTTATTAACCTTTGTATTACCAAAGACATATAGATTCTAGAACAAGTTTGAATCAAGACTTAAGTTTGTATTAATATACATCAAAATTCATGATTTTTTTTCGTTTAGGTTCACTGTGTTCACAATCAGCGCAGCCACTTTCTAGATATGTGATCTCAAGGAAGTTACTTAAATTTTCTGCATCTTTAAAATGTGGATCCGAATTGTTGAGAGGTCTGGCACATAGTGAGATCTAAATAAGTACCGGTAAATATTCTTATGCCTCAACCAGTTTGGCTGAGGAGATGTACATGAATTGAAAAAAGAAAATCTTGATGAAAGAAAATAATTTTTAAAACCATGGAAAAGATCAAATCTATGGATTCAAACATAGTTAATCCAATCAGAATCTGAATTTGATTACCCCTTTACCACCATTGACTGGATATTTAGTAGTTTTCTAAGATTGACGTTGTAATTTATAATTTTATGGGTTTCTACTCTTTACTTCGGCTCAGTGATGAGCCTTTAAGCAGACTCACAAATGACAAACATCAGCACATTACTTAACTGGGAAACCCTCCGTGTTCCCAGGCCTGGGAGTTGGAACTCTTTACTTGGAGCGCAAGCTTTGGACTGGAAAGGTGGTTGTGGAGGACGGGGGGGGGGTGTGGGGGGGCGAGGGCGGGGGCGGGGGTTACAACTGCTCCTCCCCTTCACACTCTGTACCCGCCCCCCTCAGTCCCCTCCTACTCCTTGGGCCTTTCAGAGCCTTTCTCTAGCTTGCCCGCCCTTGCTTCTGATGTCTGAGCTAGGCGCAGGAGGCGGGCTCAGCGCTGACGGGCTGCGCCTCTGCAGCCAGAGGGAGGAGGCGGGAAGGCGGGCGGCGGCGGCGGCGGAGGCGGAGGAAGAGGGGGAGGAGGTGGAGGCGGGGACTACGCCGGGCGGTAGCTGGCGCCGAGCGCGGTGGGAGAGGAGAGGGTACCCGCCTGGCTTGGCTGGTGGCCTCTACCCGCATCTCGGCGCTGCAGCCCTGCGCCTCTCCTGCCCTTGTCTCCAGGTCCACGGCCTCGGGCACAGAGGAGGCGGCGGAGCTCTGGGCCACTGGTAGGTTGCACGGGGACGGCAGCTCCGTCTGCAACCTTTTGTGCCGCAGAAAAGGTGGTGGTGATGGTGGGGGGGCTTGCCCCAGTCACCGATTACCGGTGACAGCCCAATCACGGCGCCGCCCCTTCCTCCTCGCCTCGTGTCCGGGCTAGGCGCTCACTGTCTGCGCAGTTTTGGGGAACCCCGGGCGGGCTGGCCTCCAGTATGGGTGGCAGTGCAGCACCCAGTGTCACTGGTCTGGGCGGGCTGGTCTCCCGGCACCCGTGCCGGGAGCTAGGGTCTGGTGAATTGGGTGGGGCCCACGCGGGGTGCGGGGAAGCCCGCAGCTTCCTGGCACAGGGGTGGGGCCGGAGACGCCGTGAGTGTGCAGCGCGTGTGAGTGAGTGTGCGGAGGCGTGCGCTCGCCGGGGAGGTGCGGGGACTCAAGCGACCCCGAACGCCTCTCCTGCGGTGCTGCGGTGCGGAAGGCTGGGTGCGTTGGCGCGCTCCCGAGCTCCGTCGGCCCAGCAGTGCCCGCACCGCGGGGAGACAGGCCTGGGGCCCCATTGAGAAGTAGCTCTTCTCCGGTCTGCTGCGACTCTGGCCAAGCATTCAGCAGGGCGCAGGGTGCGACTGCTGGGGCCAGATAGCGACCAGGGCCGAGCCTCGGCGGCCTTATCTCGCCGGTCCTCCCCGCCCGCGCGCAAGCTGGGGGCAAGGCCGCCCGGGTCCGCCGAGCACAGGCTGCGCGGCGCGGGCCGTGCGCGCGCGTGTGCATCGCGGCCCGGTGCTGGCCAGAAACGAAAGCTGGAGATGTTGGGCATCGCCACCCTCGCCCCACCTGTCGTGGGTGGACTTTGGGGTGGGTGGGAAGCGTAGGAAGGTGTTTGGTGGCAGGCAGCCGTCAGACCTTGAGTAGCGAGCGGCCCCATTGTGAAGATGCCAAACTCTCTCTAGTGGTGGAATCTGAAAATCTCTGCCAGAAAGAAGATGAGAACGCGAGGGGAATGATGGCCCTGCCCTTTCCCCCATTGTAAGTGTTCCACGTCCTTAGGGACTCCCTGTTTCTCGTCCCTCGCCAGTTTGCGCCGGGTTGGTTAAGGGTTAGTGCAGTTAAGATTTGTGTGTATGTTGTATACGTGTGTGTGCGCGCGCGCGCGTGTGTGTGTATGGTTGAGGTGCGGCAGGTAAAACTGCATCTGGAACTTTTTAATCTTTCGAAGAGGAGGAGAAATGGAGGCAGCAGCATTTTATGGTGTGCCTGCCACTCCTAGGTGAAAGAACAGTTCTTGCACAACGTTTCTGACGTTACTAAACTTCATTTTACATTTTTTTTCCCAAAAAGACACCCGATAATTTAGGGTTGTTAGTTGCCTTATTTACTTTTTTCTAATCTTGAGGAGCAGATAAACACTGGTAGATAAAAATGACCCCTTCCCAAAGTTTATTTTCCCTGTTATTTCAAAATACAGTCTGGGTTATTGTTGCAGAAGCTTTGGATACTTTATTAATCCAGGGCACGATTTATGCTTACACTATTATGTTTAATGACTGTTTCACAGACTTTTGTGTTTACTATCATGTCACTGTGTATTATAAACTTCAAAATAAACAGGATGAAATATAAAGAGTTAATGAACAGAGACCTATTAATTTGATAAGAAGTGGTAGATTTTTTTATAGATATTTTGGTTTATTTAAGTGGGTCTGTTAGTATTAAATATTCCAGGATACAAGATAAATTTATTTACATAAATCAGTGAATTTGTTTATTTTCTCTGCAAAATTTTCATATTTTTGGGAAGTTATTTTAATATTAACTCCGAAAAAATATTTAGTGTGGTGGGAATAATAAAACTTTAAAATTTACTTAATGGCTTGTACTGAGGGGTGGGGATTAGCTCTTTTCCTCAAGGGATAAGTTTAATTTTTGTCACCAACTTGTCAAAAAGAGTACCTGGTTTCAAGCTTTCCTTTGGAAAATTAGTCACTTCCACCATGTACACCTGTTGCATTCTGCTTACGCTTCCATAGAGGCAAATTTCTTGTAAAGAGGGCATGTGCAGTTACAGTCACTGTCACTCATATTTGCAGTGAAACTGAATATTTTTGCTAAAAGTAGAAGGATGACGTCACATATAAGAAAACAGTAATAACCCGAGTTTGATTTTTACTAGTAGAATTGATACTGGAAAGAGGAACACATTTTTGTCCTACTGAGCCAATTATGGGTTGGTTGTCTTACCATGTTGATGAAGTTAATGGTTCATTTGTAAGGCGAAGGGTGATTTTTAAAAAGTCACTTCCTACTTAACTCTTTTTCAAAACCTTTGATGATTAAATTGCCAAAAGAATAAGATTATTTGACAGTAATGTCAGAGGCAAGCATGTAGATAGAGCTAATGATTTTCCGCCCATGTTGTACTTTGACAGCTAAACCATTTTATTTCTGCAGTGTTTTATTACTTGAGAGATGTTTTGGTTCATCTCTCTTTTACTTGCTTTTAGAGTAGTCTTTGAGAGTAGTGATTACAAGATATTTTCACTAGTCAATGTAATTTCAATTTTTTCCCATAATTTTTTTCTCATTAGTTTCTCCTTAATTGGCCATTTAAAAAATACTACCTGTTTTTATTTTTTTCTTCATATTTTAGGAGCAAAAATTGAGGCATAACTTTTAATTCTACTAATTTATTTGCCTAAATTTTACTTTGCTTTTCATAATTGAATCTTTAATGATTAGTGGGATTTATTTACCAAAATTCAGAAGGGCTGTATGCTGGCTTTTATCTTTACAACCTTATAATTTTTCAGTGCTAAATTTGCCGTTATTTTGTTAATGGATCTGTGTTGATACTTGGCATTTATGGGTTTGTGGGTAAGGATATTGTGTGGACCTGAACATTTCTATATATTTTTTTAGAAAACCATTCGCTTTTCTGGGTTCTTGATGCCATTCAATTTTACTTTATATGTATGATATTTGTATATTTCCATGCCTGTGGGTCTGTCCCACTGGCTGTTCTCAGACTGTGCTTCAGTGCCTCTGTCGTGCTGAGACATGTAATAACATTCAGGAATACCATTGAATAAATAAGTGAAAATTGAATGATTGGGTGGATACCCAAAAGTGTACTCCTCAGATCTCTATGCAAAGTCACAATACCACCAAAAAGGTGTTTCTTCTTTTTATAAAATCCCTTTCCTTTTCATTGTTATCAATTACTATTGAGTAGTAATAAGATTACTATTGAGTAAGTAATAAGTAAGTAATAAGAATATAACTGCCACACTTTGGCACTTGAGAGTTAAAGAGGTACAATAAACAATTATACCATGGTATTGACTATGAACTGAGGCATATAGTCAGTCACTCTTCTTTTGAAGGACTTTCTTCTTTAACTGAGATAACATCTGTTGTGTTGCCTAAAAAATGTAACACACTTGCAAGTTAATGTTTGCAAACTTTACTATCTGTAGAAGCTTCATTTGCAGACAGTTGTTGGTTGTCTTTTGCCTAACTCACCTATGGCTTCCTATCCACAGGCCTGTGGGCAGTTAGTTCTTGGCCAAGTTTTAAGTTTTCCTGCTTTCATTGTTTATAGGACAGGGTCTGTTTGTTTCAGCTTCTTGGAGTTGGAAACATTGTATCCTATAACCTTGGTTCTATTTACTTTAGTCTGTGTTTCTATGTAGCATTTAGTCCATCCTCTAAAAATTTCAAATGAGTCTTTCTGCCTCTTGTGGACCATTGAAGAGACAAGATCCATTGATATCTTTCCCAGGCTTTATTCTAGGATGAAGCTATAGTCAACTCCAAGTGTTAGAGGTTTACAGATTTGAAAGTATTCTGAGAATGACTGATTTTATTTGAAAGGCCTGTTTTTGAAGAATTTTCATATTAGTCTTTTAATTGCTATTTATGGGAGGTGGGAGTAAAACCCTTATATATTTGTAGTAGATTCCTTTATAGGCAATCTCTTAAAGGCAGTGTACTTGTATACTAACTTCTTGCTTTGCTCACTTTTTTTTCATTTTCTTCTTTTTCACTATCTATATTATCATCACCCTCTTCTTAGTACCTCTGCACAGATACACACAAGCAACAGAAATGAGTAAAACTCAGAAATGGATGGTGCTCCTGCATCTTGGCTTCGCCTTGTGTTGCTCTGATTCTGTTTACATTCTACTTTTGACTTGGCACTGGGATAACAGGGGTGATCAGTCACTACACTTTGTTTACTATGAAATTAAGGCCAGTTTCCTAGACTTCCCGGTCAGCTCCAGTGCAGGAGTTGGATAATTACTTTAAGGCTCTCCTGCTTTCAAGTCCATACTGAAGTTTTCAGTTGATTTCTTTCTTTTGGTGTTGAAAAAAGTTGGGAAGTGTCAATATTTTTCAATGCTTTTTAAAGCTTGAAAAGAAGAATATACCCCCAAATACATGAGAGAAATTGTATGATAGTTTACATGATGTATAAAAAATTTGAAATTGTCTTTAAGAGTAAGACATTAAGGTTTTTCTAATGTTCCTTCTTAATTTTCAATGTAAGTTTCTAAGAATCCAGATCAAATATGTCTCATTTTGTAATTGATGTCCTGAAAAAGAAAGTAAAAATACGTATCTGTATTTGTCATCCAGCTGGATAGCCATCAAGTATTGGTTGAGCTATTTTTCCTGTTTTATAATTTATGATTTGAAAAGTAGCTTGGAAATTGAGGAGAGAGAGTCCATGATTTAGAATAATCTTGTATAAGAATCTCTACTGTGTACCTTAAAATTCTAATGTTTTTCAAGTTGGAAATAACCTTGAAACTAGTAGTAAAAACTACCTCCCCCCTCAAGCACTTCACAAATGAGGTAATACAGCTTTTAAAGTGTCCCCTCAAACATTTAAAATAGAATTCCATTTACAGAAATTAATTAGTATATGTTCTTCAAGAGCATGGTTATTGTGTGAGGCCACACTTATCACAGGCCTGAGCCTACACAAGGATAAAGACAAGTCAATTGGGGTGCAGATTCCTCCACTGACTGCCACATAGTATTATTTCACCAAATACTTTAAAGTGGGGTCCATAATATTTTCCTATGAATAAGGATTAAATGATATAATTAGATATGCCTTTTGATATATAGAAGATGCTAAAAAAAAAAAAAAACCAGTTTCTTTTTACTGACATTCTCCATTAAAAATCCATTTACTTAAGATATCAACATGAACTTTACAACAATAATGATATAGGAATTTTTTGGGGGGGATAATTACATGAAATAAACAATTTTATTGTTGGGAAACAATTTTTGTTACATTACGGTTCACTTTATTTTAAAATTGGAAATTTCATTGTTGATGTGGAACCAAGATCTATTGTCTAGATTTTTTGGTTATCCAATTTCAAAATAGTTGGTGACAAAATTAAATGAAATGGAGCATGTCTTTTATCCACATCCAAAGACTTTCAAAATGATGAGACTGATGAACATGATAACTTCCTGGAATGACAGTTTGGTGCTTTCTCTCCTTCCAGTTTCTCAAGCTGAAGAAGCAAATACCTTCAATACAAAAAATTTTCCATTTCCTTTGACTTAAACTCTTCTGTGCTTGTTAGAAAAATAATAAAGTGACAGACTCCTTGCCTTTCCCCTTAGTGCTTGTCTTCAGGTTGGAACATGTTGCAAAGTATGGTTGCCATTTTTTCAGGGTCTGTGCACCTATGCAAGTAAAATGAATCCACTCAGCTCATTTAAGTCCCTTCCTCCTTACACTGAGCACAACAACGGAATACTCAGCAACCAAAGAAACTTTTATGGAGGAAAAGGGCTTAAGGGAGTTTTCTTGGTCTCAACAAATTAACCCAATTAGCAGAGGAGGCAGGAGATAAAGATAGATTCTCTTACACATTAATTCCCTAGGTAATTGGGGGGTGGAGGGAGGAGCAAAGAATTGATGCTAGAAGCCTTAAGTAAAGTGGCAACATGAAGAAGTGACAAAGTGTTTTTCTGTCTTTTAAAATGTTTTCCAGGATCCTTCGAATCATTTGCCTTATAGCAATCTTAAGAATAATTTTTACTGTTGCTATTTTATGGTTCTAATGAGTACACACCAAAGATTAATTTCATTATGACAACATCACACATCTGTAAGGATATCTAAAGCGTGCAGAGTGCCCTCATTTGATCCATGTAGCAGGTGTATTAGGGGGACTGTTGTTGGTATCATTGGCCTGAAATCTGGAAGATTGCTATGTATGTCTGGTCAGAAGGCAGAGGTCTTAGCAAGACCAGAGCAAAAACCCTTTCTTTCTACCCTAGCCTCAGCATTTATTTTCCCACAGATTACCCTGGATCTGCTGAACACATGAATGGGACAAGGATGGGAAAACCAGACACTTAATGCCTCTAGTTTTTCTTGTCTCTATTTTGTTAATTGGGTACTCTTAGTTTCTAGGTAGAGTTTAAGCAACAGAATCCAGGGGAACAAGCAAAATAAGATGTTTGGGGGTCCATTTAGCCGAACAAACTCAAAATTACTTTAATTGAATTAATTAATTATTGTATCCAATATAACCTGTACCTAATATTAGTACCTTCTTTTAGTTTCTTCCTGTTTTTCAATTAGAATTGATATAATTGCTTTATAAATTATGTTACTTGTTAAATGACAGGTTTATTTTTGTATTTCATGTTTAGTATCTGGATTAGAGCAGAAAACTTATTATGCCTGTTCTCCCTTGGGACTCTTTGGAAATTTTGCAGTGACATCTTCTGGGATTTTGTCTGGTAAGTTATGTTTTGTATTTTCTGTTTGCTAACCAGTGGTATGAACATACTATCATATTGTGTTTTCAGGATTATATAAACAAACAGGTAAATGTAAAATATCAGTGTATTATTACATATATGTACAGTATATTCACAGCATTTTTAATGGTTGGAACTGAAATTATGATTGTAGTATGCTAAAATTATTTGGCTCTTTGAGTACATTTTTCTTTTCTTAAATTCCTATAAAATAAAGGTACTCTTATGGAAGAATGTTTCAGAATATATGGTAGTTTAGGAGTGCCTGTTCTAATTGGGGGTAATTTAGCAAAAATATTAATCTCCACAAATTGGTGAAATAATTTGCAAAACAATTCTAGTTGCTTATCATGTATAAGGATTAGTTAACAGGGAGCTGAAAGGAGAATCATTTTCACTTAGTTGTGGAGACGTTCACTGCAAATGTGACATTCTTTTATCCAACTGTTAAATGTGTACAATGCTGTCATCTTGTTTTAGTTGTCTTTTTTTTTTCAATGTCATCTGTGTGTCTGTGCTGACATAGTTATTTGTGTCACTCCATGTCTTTGAAGGGGAAAATAATTAATCATGATCTTTGTAGCTCTTTAGCATTTTTAAAACTATATTGTGAGTCCAGGCTCTTCCAGTATCTTTTTAGGTTCTTGCTTTGAATTACTTAGAGAGGTCATACTTCTTGGAAAAAACAATTTCATAATAAGTGACTTCTAAGTTAGCAACCAGCAGCAGAATGAGTCAAAGGAATGATAAGGAAAAGCAAACAGTATTGTTAAGTACAAATAGCTCATCAAATTTGTAAAAATGCATTCTAAGATACTGACTAAATGGAAACCCTACTAAAATTTCCAGTTTTGTGGAAAAGGGGAAGAAATTTGAAAACAATAAGTACAAAGTGTATTTAGAGGATATTAGATAAATAATGCAGCCAGGTCAATAACTCACTGAACTGAAACAAAGCACAAAAGCAATGGGATAGAAACTACAGTAGAGAGAGAGAGAGAGAGAGAGAGAGAGAGAGAGAGAGAGAGAGAGAGAGTGTGTGTGTTTATGTGTCTATTTCTATCTGTCTATTTCTCTGGTACATGCATATATATATATATATGTTATATTTGTATATGTATGTTATATATTTAAGTACAGCAACATAGTAACAAAGCAGCAAATAGTGAAATGATCCACTTGGGAAGCAGTAAGTTACCTGTTATTGAAAGTGACCAGGTAGACACTGAAAAACCACTATTAGTCCTTCTTACTCTTAGATTACACAGTCTAAAAAATTAAAAAGTTGGGAGGATCATGTAAAACTTGGAAGTATGTGACAAAGACTGCCTACTTTTAATGTCAGGCTTATTAAAATATAACATACACAGTTAAATTCGCTCAGTTAAGGTATGCAGTTTGGTGCATTCTGACAGTCCCTTTGTAATCTCTTTCTGCTCTCTGGCTTTTGGCAATCATTGATTAGTTTCTGGCCCAAAAGTGTTGCCTTTTCCAGAATGCCACATAAATGGAATCATATAGGACATAGCATTTTCTATCTACTTCTTTTACTTGGTATATTCTTTGTTCATACCTCTTCATAGTTGAGTAGTATTCCATTGTATGAGTGTACCACAGTTTATTTTCCTGAGATAGATATTTGGATTGTTTTCAGTTTGGGGTAGTTGTGAATGAGGCTGTTATAAACATGCATGTTCAGGTCTTTATGTGAACATATATTTTCATTTTTCCTTGGTTGTTTAATAAGCAACTGCTCAACTGTTTTTCCAAAGTAGCTATTATATCAAAGTGCATGTAGATGAAGGAACTCAAATCTCATCTAGCATTTATTTTATATTTTATATTCAGTTTTAATAAATTTGCTTAGCAGATATTTTCAGATCACAGTGGATTAGAAACAGAAAATTGAAAGACTTTAGGAATAGGTTGTTAGTGATTTGTAAGGAAGTAAAAATGATGTCTATCAAAATGACTAAGAAAAGGGAAGGATTTTAGAGCAGGGAAATTCTTCTATCTGGTAAGTTCTGTCTAACAAATTCTTGTACTTATGTGCATATTAGAGTTCTTTAAAAACTTCAGATTCCAGGCTAACCCCCCTCCCCAATTCAGTTAAATCACAAATCTGTTGTGAACACAGACATCAGTACTTTTTGATGCTCCTTGGAGTATTTCACTCTATAGACAAGTTTAGGAGCCATATGCTAGGATCACAGAATGATGACAGGGAAAGAGCACTGAACTTGCAGCCAGGAGACCTGGGTTGTAGTTATGGCCACTAACTACCTATGTTGCTCTGGGCAAGCTTCTGCATCTGTGACTTTAGTGCCCTCTTCTTTTTCACTCCAGCAGTAGAGGTTCCAGGTAAGTGAACTTCAGCATGATCCTGGGATTAAAACCAGGTCATTTCAGCCATTACCATAACTAATATGAGTCATGCCTAAGAGATCCCATTTTCCAAGTAATACTTCTATTCTTTTATCGCTCATTTCAGGTACTTGTCATAAAGTATTTTGTTAACATTTTTGTTTTGTATATTTAAGATGATTATATTCATATCTGCTTTCTCATGTGGTATTGCTATATGTTGCTAAAAACAGTAAAACATGAAGCAGTGTTTGATTATGGGGTGTGTATGTGTGAATTTTTTTGATAAACCTTATTTAAAAAAAAAACAAAACTCAGAACCCAATACTTTTCAAAAAGAATTGTTAGTTTAGCAGTTGTGAAAAGAATCAGCAATTTTCAGAGCTGGTTTAGTGAGGTAAATCTGTGTTGTGTTTTAAAAATATTATTTTTTGGGAGCTTGGTCTCTTGGAGAATGTTCAAGCTGTGCAGATTCTGTATAGGCTAAGTCTCTTGATGGCTCATCCTGGTGCATGAGTATTCACTATGTGTGTTGTGGTTTGGCTTGTTTGCTTTAGTCTAAGCCAGGATACTAATGTTGGCATATTGCATCCTGTGCCCAATAATTTAAAAAAAATTGAATGCTGTGTATTTTTCTAGTATATGTAAATGTTATTTTCCCATTCTTGAAAGAAGTTTGATACTTACTTTGTAAATTTCTTCGCAAGAAATATATAATGGTGTAAGTGAAAATATCATAGTTTTGAGGTCAAAGAATGGAAATCATGCTCTTTTTACTTACCTTTTTCCTTTAAGAAAATCAAACAGTCTTATCCGTTGGTAACATTGGCTTCCTTTTTCAGTAATTTCTATTATAAGCAGATAGAAATGGGCACTTTCCTGGTTAGTGTGTAAGACTGTACTTTAAAAAAGTACTTACATTAATTTTCATTATATAAAGTAATATATTCTTATAAAAAATGAAAATATTTTGTATAAAGCTTTGTTGTAGTTACAATAAAAATTTAGAAAGGATATATTCTTTGACTCAGAGTTTACTTTTGGAATTTTCTTCCAAAAGGAGAAATAATTTTGTGTGTATGTTTGTGTGTGTGTATTTATATGTTTTCATTTTAGGAAGAAGTGGACACCTACTCATATTTGTAAATGTACAAAAAAAAGGATACACCAAATATTAATAAGGTTTTCCACTATATGTATCTGACATTGGTAGGGGCTGAGGGGGAATTTTTCCTCTTAAATAAATCATTATGAATTATTTGAACTGGAAATTTTTCAGTTTGCATTTATTACTTTTTATAGTTCTCAAAAACAATGAAAAGAAAAGCAATCATTAGAGCTGTTTAGTAAGGAATGGAAAGGGATAGGGAAAAGTTGTTATAAAAAAAAAGTGTTTGTGGACTCTAAGGCTCGTTGAGATATCTCTATTCAGTTAAAGAACTTAGCAAGTAGGGTGGAGCTCCAGTGCTAGTGCCCAGTACAGTAAATGTGTTTCTTAGAGCACGTCCCTGATTCAAGCATGCTACATCACAGAATAATTGCAGGGTAATATCTAGAGGCATCCTAGTCAGAATTACCTTAGTTTTCTTGTGAACCTTTGTTTTCCTTTCTCTCTATGAAAATAACATTATACCCAAATTTTACAAGTTCCCTCCTATCCTAAAAAGTATTTCTGATAATCTTACTCAGTTTATGACAGCAAAGATTAAAGTGTGTCAAGAGAAGCTGGCAAAAAAATTATTACCTAAGTTGGTGAAATGAGTCTAACAGTAGAATTCCATGCCCTTTGACATTTTAGCTAAAGCTTAGGGAGTTGGAACTTTAAAAAAAATATATGTGTTACTGATACATGAATATACATAATAGAAAAGCTAGTGAATTAATTAATTCTTTGAGTTTTTTAGATGAATTACAGATATTAGGATATAGAATTTCTCAGAAAGAATCTGTATAGCAGTTGTGAAACTTACCAGCTATTTTCAGAGTTGTTTTAAAGAACAAAGAACTTTAGGTTATATTTTCAAAATATTGGTGTTTGTGCCCAAAGTTTTGGAGGTTTGGACTCTTGGAGAATATTCAAAGGCTGTACATGTCATGGTCTTTTGATGTTCTAATTCTGGTACACCAGGTTCCCCTCTACACACCTGTGTTGTATCCATGTTTCAGGATGGACCTCTTGCTTTAGTTTTAGCAAAAATTCACAATTGCATGCTATAGTCTGTGCTTTAGAAATGTACTCTATACATGTTTACAGAATTAGTGCTATCTTGTCTAGTGTCGTGTAGTTGGATCCTCATGTATTTCAAAGAAATACAGTAGCCAATGAAAATTGGCTAATGAAAATTGTTAGGTCTTTCATGTTTTAAAATAACTCAATGCCATTGTTACTGGTTAGATTGTAAGAAAATTTTATATCAAAGACCCTTAAGTATCTTCTAAAAAATTATATTTCCATGTAATACTTGTTTAAAAAATTCAGGTTTTTTTTTTTGGAGGGGATTGGAGTTTGAACTCAGGGCTTCGAGCTTGCAAAGAGGCATTCTACCACTTGAGCCACACCTCTAGTCCAAAACTCAGTTTTAAAAGCATCGTTCAACGATAAGTTGACTTTTGTAGTTGTATCTGTTGTAGAATCTTCTATCCATAGAAATTTTGCTGCTTCTGTTACTATAACAACAACAATTTTTTTCTATTTTTTATTTCAGTCTTTATTTTGCTTTAAGGTACTTACAAAAGGCATTCATGGAAGCAACAAGGGCATGCTAGGTCTCTGACTTTTAATAGTCTAGAATGTAGGCATTAGCACTGGAGCTGATTTCTTCATACACTATTTATTGATGCTGTGGAAAGGATATCTGTTGTGCATACCTGCAGTGATATTTGCAGGGATGCTTTGTAATTCTCTATCTTGTAGGTGCTTTTTGGATACAGGCTTATTTTGGAATATGAAACAAAATGCCTAATCATAAATAGAGCTGCTAGAAATAGCAATCCCACAAGCAGTTTTGTTCATGGTAAATCCTGAGGCATGTGCTGCTAAACACAGACCATTTTCAGTTGTATTCACAGTGGTTGAATTTCCTAATGAGTGCTTTTTTAGTAAGAAATTTGTGACTGGTGTGTAGCTCAGTGGTAGACAATATGCCTAGCATGCATGAGGCCCTGGGGGTCATTCCTCAATATACACAACAAAAACAAAACAAACAAACAAAAAGAAAGTAATTTTACTATGGAAAACACTGGACAGCCATGTATGGAGATGTGCTTGGTTGTGTACAATGGTACACACCTGTAGTGCTGGCTATGGGGAGAAAGGGGACACACTGACTTGGAGACTGTTCAGTCTTAATGATGTCTTGTTTTTTTTTTTCTTTTAAAGTAAAATTCTAGAATTAGAAGGAACCTAGATTTCTTTAGAAAGCAGTCCCTTGGCAGATTTTAAAAATGACCTGAGAACATTGATTCTGTAACTTTCTCAAGATTTTGCCTCACTGCTTAAATCCAGTCAAGAGATGCTTAGAAAACTTAGTAGCGTAGAATGCTTTCTTTTCAGTCACATTGACTTATGGGAGTTATGCTGCTTAGTCTGTATTCTGTCCAATTAAAAAGGAAATATTTGCCAGTCAGCGTTTTCTTTTCTGAAACTCAGCCTCCATGTGCTTCACAGTAGGTGTTTTTTAGAAGAATAATGTGGAAGTAAAAGGAGTCCTTTAAAGAAAATGTAAGCAGTTAGTGAGAATCCAGGTTTCACCATTTATATTCCTGCTTGAATATCAAGACCTGAAGTTCTTCATATGACAATACACTCACAGAGATCAGTGAAACCACCTAGAAGAGCTATTTTGAGAATACACTATTTGTTGTTTGGAGCAGAAGTACTGATGTTTGATAGCTAAAAAGTGCAAATATTTTCCAGCTCTTGGACTTGCTCATCAGAAGTTCAACAGTAGCAGCTTTGAATGTAATATTTAAAACAAGCCTTTCATGTCCAGGGCAATGAGTCTGTCTTTCAGAAATTTTACCAAGAGTGATGACCTGTTTTGCTTGGGTCTTAGTTGCTACATTACATATTTATGGTACAGAGTATTACAGAGTATTAGAAATGCTTATTTATTTAACTTTCTGATTAAGTGGTGTTTTCTACAGTGGGTATGTTCCTGCTTTAGTAAAATATGTTAGATTTCTTACACCAACCACATTTGTGTCTTCTACTTAACAGCCTAAGTTAAATCATTGTTTCCCAGATAGGTGCCTGATATCTGTTTGGATAGTTTTGCCCAGGCCAGGTGATATGTTTTATGGTACTATTTGCTGCTGAAAACTTAGCTGATGATAGTTATTCATCCAACAGTAGTGTGTATTTAAGCTTTCCTCAAAATTTGACCTTTATACATTTTTTCACTTACTTTCTTCACTTTTCCACATACTTATTTGCTAGGTGATTCGTCATTTCTGCCTATTTCTTTAAACTATTGTATCCTGATGTCCTTTATCTTTAGCCTGGAGATACTCTAAGAATTCCCAAAGGTTTGGTTTGGTCTAGCAGAATTGGCTAGGTATGAGGACAAACTTTTGATGATCTTATTGACCATAGAAACCTGGGCTTGCTATTCTTTCTTCAACCTTGTACACTGTTGGCGTTCTTAGCAATTTTGACTTTTTAGGCAAAAATAAATAAAATTAGCCTAACATTGATGTGTATTATTATACAACTCAGGATGGGTTGGATCTGAATTCATGGATTTTTCTCAAATGAGAATGAAGTGGTTGGTGGAAATTCATGGGTTGTCATGCAGTCGTTTGGAGGAGACCTAGTGGAGACAGATTGCTGGACTGTCAGTGTCTAGGTAGCTGTCCTTGGGTATTGCGTTCAGTTTGTGTGCATTTACTTTTTCTTCCATGGCCCTCCTCTCCTTGTCTTTTAGAATGAATTGTCAAGAAACAGTTCTGCCTGTACTTCCTTCCAGGTTATATAGGCTGGAGACCCTGGATCTGCCCTCTTATGATATTTCTGGGTGACAAAGGTAGTGAGAGCAGAAGGATTAATTTGTCATTTGACTTAGGGTAAACATTTGTTTCACATAAATGTGATAAGGCTTTGCATGAAGTTTTAGTTGAGATACCTTCTAATGCAGATCAAAGAAGTTGGTGGGCACTACTCTGATCCTACCCGTAGGGAAACAACTTATACAATGGAATACAAATTTATTTTTACATTAACAAAATAAAAGCAACTACCTTACTCTAAAGTGGGATTTTGGTTAAATAAAAATTGAAAATAGTGTGAGATTTCGAGTATATACTAATTCCTATGTTGATCTCTCTGACATTTGCTTTATTTCAGGAATTGTTATGAATGTTTGTTTTCAGTTGCTCTGTAGATGGTAAGGAAAGGTGGCCTCTAATAACTTCACAGCCTTCTAAGTGGGAAACTAGAGCATGGAAGGGAAGAAGTTAGGTTCTGTTTTGTTTTCCAGTTTTCTAATTGCTTAGGTTTTAAATGAATATCAAAATTTTAGGAAATAGTTCAATTATGAAATAGTTATTCATTTTATAAAAGAACTCATAAGTATTGTGTGATATAGCAGCCCCTTTCAGTAATTTTTTCACTTTAAATTCAATTATTTGACATTTTAAGGTACCTACTTAAAACTGTATAACCTACTTTCAGTTGAAAATCAAGAACTAGTTTCTCAGAAATGACAGTACCATTGTTTCCCCTAACCTTGTTCTCCAAAATTTATCTGTAACTTTCTAGGAACCTAGCCATTATTTGTGGTACTCCTTGTCAGTGGTGTTTTTCAAACTATGTAAGGTGATAATTGTGATGAACAATATCAGAATTCATTATGAATCATTCTGCTATTTTTAAAAACTATTCAAAAGAATGCTGTCTTAGGTACTGCAAAACACATTAACAGTCAGCTCATGGTATGTTTTATGGTTAAATAGTCATGTAACTGACATTTGGTGTTTTGTGTATATTATTAAAATATACATGAGGGTTTAGAACTAACTTTTAAACTGCAAAATGGTTTTCTTTAATTCACTGGGGATTTTGAAGGAGGAACAGTTACAAGGTTTGGGAGAACCTTCTCCAAAGACTCATTTATGACCTAAAAGTAGTTTTTAGGTCTAAGTTGAATTCTTTGCAGAAATTGATCAGCTCAGCCAATTGTATTACACGTCCCTTAAGCACAATGACAAGAATTACTGACCTGAAGAACTGAGCACTTAATCTAAATTAAATGAGGGATAAATTTCATTTTCAAGTCAGAAATATTTTGAAAATTCTTGTGAAACTTTGTATGCTTGCTTTTATTTGCTTATGTTGAGATCTGTATTCAGTTTGCTTAATACTGCATCAAGGAATAAATGGAATAAACTTTATGTATTTGAATGGAGTGCTGCAATTAGAGAAGTGTTATTGCTTTATGCTTCTCCATCTGTATCTTTTTGTAGTATTTAGACTTTTACTTAACCTGCTGTTGAGTTCTGGAAGGCAGAATGGTTAGTGGTCATCTCATGCCCGCTCTGAAATGTTTAGTAGACATAGATAAAAATCTATCGGTTGGATATCTGTTGGCTGTCTTCCAGGCAAGTGTTTCTTCATGCTCCCTGACTTCTAAAAGAATCTGGATTGCTCCGAGGTTTTGTGCATCATTTTCTAATCTGAATCTGTTTACTTTTAGGAGTGTGCAGACTGGTGCTTAAAATGGAAGTAGATATAAATGGAGAGTCTAGAAGTGCCCTGACCACCCTGCCCTTGCCTGTGGCTGAGGGGAGCTCCCCAGGAAAAACAGAGGCAGAGAAGCCCCGCTGCTCTAGCACACCCTGCTCACCCATGCGTCGGACTGTGTCAGGCTATCAGATCCTCCACATGGATTCTAACTATTTGGTGGGCTTTACAACGGGTGAGGAACTCCTGAAGTTAGCCCAGAAGTGCACCAGTGGAGAAGAGAGCAAGAACGAAGTCATGCCTCCTTTGCGCTCCAAACAACTGGATGCAGGACTTGCGCGCTCCTCTCGTTTGTGTAAGACCAGAAGCAGGTACTATCAGCCATATGAGATCCCAGCTGTCAATGGCAGGAGGCGAAGGCGGATGCCCAGCTCAGGAGACAAGTGCACCAAATCCTTACCTTATGAACCGTATAAGGCCCTCCATGGGCCCCTGCCTCTTTGTCTTCTTAAAGGTAAGAGGGCTCACTCCAAATCTCTGGACTACCTCAATCTAGACAAAATGAACATCAAGGAGCCAGCTGACACAGAAGTGCTACAGTACCAACTTCAACACCTAACACTCCGAGGGGACCGAGTGTTCGCTAGGAATAACACATGAATGACTTGCACAGAATTTGAGCCACTTTAGGTCAGCCTGTTCCTGGCTAGAGAAAATCTGCTGTGCTCTGTACATGACTCTTCACATTATAGATGGTTACATCAGCTAAGTGTTCCTGGAACATAAAAATTGTTTGGATCAAATTTTGAAAACAGGAATGAAATCACAGGTACTTAGGGTGGGGGCGGGGGGAATATCATTCTAGAGCACGCATCTGCAAAGAAAACAGAAGGTTTGTATAGCTTTTTAGCTAGGAGGAAGGATTTGGTACAGTAATTTCATCTCTATGATTCTAACATTCACGTGGGGAATGTTATCTGCTTGGTTGTTGCTGACTTGGTATGATTCATTGGAAATTTAAAAATTAAGTACTCAAGTACTTCTTGAATCTCTGTATTTTACTATAAAATGTATGTAATGATTTGTTTTATGAGATTTAGAACTTGAAAATTGCTGAATTGGACCACTTTTTATTTTTAAATATTGAGTTTAAATATTTTATAACTGGTTTTGCACTGAAAAAAATTAACACTTCAGATTAAGAGAATAATCTTTCTTCACTTGCCTCAATAATGTTATTGAGCAATGAATTTTTTTATTTCCGCATGGAAAGTTATTGATCTCTATGGCTGTAAAATATTTCTTTATAGCATTATTAAAGTGTGTCTTAATAAATTTGGGATACAAAGTATTTATTTTACAATGGGGGGTGGGGATGCTTTTCCAGAAAGTTTCCAATATGAAGTTTTCATAAGTTGAAAAGTTTCCTTAGTGCTTATTTTCTAATTTAAAATTCATCTGGAACTTTAAAATGGAGAGGAATCTTTTAATTGTGAGTTATAGGCATAATACTGTTTGCATCTGAATTTTATGTAAATGAGTGGAACTTAAATAGAGGATCTCATGATTTCTACTATTGAATGCTTAAACTAAGTATGAAGTAATACCATTCAGCATGGCATTGGGTCATTCCAGTTTCAGTTCTGTGCAGCACAGGACTCATTGAAATTGTAGTTTCTAGGATTAGTGTAAGAGACTAAAGTGCTTCTACAGTTTTAATGGGTTAATCCTGGATTACTTAACAATTTATGTCAATTGCACTGGTTTAATTTGTTGCTAAAGAAATAATGCCCTGGTTTAGTAACAGTTACAGCTCAGCTATTCTGGAATGTATTTTGGAAGAAAATGTATGTAACTTACCTTTGTAAACATTTCTATTTCTTTTCTCCTTTTTCTTAATCTTGAAGGTGCAATTTATTACTGATTTGGCATTTCTGGCAACATACACTGCGTAATTTATTTTTTCTTTTGGGGGCTGTGAGTTTCTTAGGGTTAGCAATCTTGCTTATAAAATAAGAACACCTTTTATTTTAATTAATGAGTCGGTCATTCCTGGTATAATTGTGATTTTTTTCCTTTAGCCAGAGTGAATGGCAAATTATTTAGAGCAGAATAAATATTAGAAAATCCTAGGAACTCTAAATCAATGTTTATTATACTTTCACAAAGGCAAATCATGTGAAAGAGCCTTGGGAGGTTGTCCAGTGTCTTACTGAGTTGAGCAGATTTCTTGGTGGGCTGGAAATTTTCAGCAATTGTATATTTTAAAGTAAATTGCACCTTTGTAATATATTGTATTGATGAATGATCACTAAGATTAACTATATCTATACAGTCATTAGTTTGACAAGAAATAGAATCCTGTCAGATGCCAAAGAGTTGGGATTTTTACGTTTAATGATTAAACACCGCTATTTATTGATGATTTACCCTGTGGAACTGTATTATTTCTAATTATGAAATAAAAGGGTGATGTAAACACACATTGTTATGTGGTGCTTTAAATTAGATTCACCGTCAATGGGCTAGCTACTGGGTAAGAGTTCCATCCAAGAACTTATTCTGAGACCCTGTTTTTATAATACAAATGTGTACTTTTGATGCTTATTTGGTGTTTCAAGGAAAGGAATGATAGGTGTTTGGTCTATTAGGAAGCACAACTATTAATCTGAAAGATCTGGTGCCTAAATTTCTTGAGCTAAATAAAAATATGTAGCTTTTTGGTTTTTGTTTTGTTTTTCTACCTACAGACAGATGAAGCTCAGTGGCAAAAAGAAAGAGTTAAAAGTTTGAGATAGGGCATATGTGCTACTTTCTGATAAGTAAAGATCATTTTAAAACTGGTTTTCAAGAGAGAAAGTTTAAGAACTCTGGGTCAGTAATTTCCCAGATGTGCTTGCAGTTCAGTCTTACTTTCTCTGCATTCCAAAGAAATGGTGGGAATAGGATGGATTTTTTTTTTTTCTAGAAAGCATCCCTGCTAACATACTTTGTTTGAACTTTTTTTTTTATATTCAGTTTAATATTCCATACTAAATGCCATACTTTTAGCCAGGATATATCTGATGTTATCTTACAGTATTTGTGGCCCTCATATAGTGCGGCAACCTATAACTTTAATCTCCTCATTCAAAAGTGCCATATATTACAAACTCAGATGGTACATAAAGTAGCCTTAGAGTCTCAGTCCTTGTCTGCCTTGAGTTTGAGCTTCTTGTGCTCTGTTGACTTATTCTGACTGCATTTTGGACTTGTAGATGCATCTTGCACCTCTGGATGCAAACTCCTCTAGTTAGCGTCAGGGAAGAGAAGACTGAACTTGTGAACACATTTAAACCCCCAGTCCTGGAATGCAGCTTAGCTGGGCTATGACTGCTTAGGTCCATTGAGCCCTGTTCAGTTCTCCTAATGTCCTGTAATGCACTGTGTCTTTTTTCCTTTCCTGAGATTTACTTGAATGATTTCAATATTTGGGGCTTGGGAAGCTTTTAGATGAGTCTGAGTTAACATTCAAGGGCCTTTTCCTAAGGAAGGAATATTTCTTAAAATCTTGATGAAAGCAGCCTATTTTTACTTTTCTCATTCTAGCTTACTTTTGTCTCTGAAAGGCTTTTATTCTATTGTAAGGGTTGAACTTTTTGTGAGGACACTTTTAAGTGGCCCTAGCCTATGTGGTTTGTTCTCAGTCAGAGAAAGTTGGTGGAGAAACTATTGCAGTTTGTAAACGGAAGAAATGCTTTGAAGAGTTGGGGGGAGAGGGAGCAAGGGTGAGCATCATTGTAATGCAGAGTACAGCAAATATTAAGTAAAATTGCCCTTTTAAACAATATAATTTGATTAGGGAAATGGAAGTTGATGAGGAAGATTGCCTTGGAAATACAATAAATGTGATTACAAAGCTAGAAGTGGAGGCTGTTGCCACTTAATGACGCATTCTCCTTGTCATGTCCTTCTTTAGATAAGAATTCTGAAATGGACTTCTTTGATACTTTACACCAAAAAAAAGTTCAGTATTTTTTTCTGTCTGAGAAGAATGGAAACAAAAGAAGAATGGTTTTGATTTCTTATTTTCAGTTTGCTGAGCCCCTAGAACACTGCTAGCATGAGAGCCACTGTACAATGACTTTGTGCAAGGTGTCCTTAAATGGTTTCAGAGAGGAAGTCTGAAACCAAATCTGAATATTGGGGGTTGTGTTTGATCTATAGGAGAGCACACAATGAAGAAAAGGGAGCTTAGTGTCTACTGCACAGTCAATGGAATCCTTAAGTGAGCCCAGCTTCTGGGAAGAAGAGCTTTGATGCTTTTGCTATTGTGGAAAAGCTAGCAGCACTTTCAAAGCTCTTCCTTAATACTCTAGAGAAAGGATTCTTACCATGTGCAGTGGAAAGAGGAGGGAATGCTGGATCGATGATATATATTGACCTTCAGCCTTATTCACCAGGAAGAGTATTTTTAACCAAACTCTTGTGTAAAAGGATGGAAATATATACTTGGAAGACTGAATCCTCCACCTTTGGCCTAATGCTTCAGGCAGGGAAAGGAACCTATGCAGTAAGAAGTTTTGAACTTAATAAAATCCAGATTTTAGCTAAGTGGTTGGAGCTGGCATGGCAGATACCGAGCGTGTATGCCACCAGACTGCCCACCTGCACATGTGGCAGACGTCACTAAACTATCTGACAGTCTTTCTTAGAGTCCAAAAGTAGCCTCACTATCTTTCTTAACCCAGCTATTAGGCATCCATTACAAAATTGATCAGCAAGATCCAGGAGATGAAATTTGGCCCATCACATTCCTATACCTCCTGTAATAATGGGTGACAGTGTGCACAGAAAAGTGGTCTGAACAATTTGAGTAGGAGACAATTTTGGACCCTATCTTTTAATACAAGAGTGCAGGAAAATGGTGCTACATGCAAGCATTATGAAGACAGAAGGATTTAAGACAGTCTTCACCTTCACCCTACAACTGGGAGAGGTGGGTAAGATTGCATAAGATGTGTGCCAAGTGAGTGTTTTGTAGGACCAATAGCAGTTTAAGAGAGGAAAGCTTAACTCCTGTGGGGCTGAAATCTGAATAATTTTTCCTCAGTAGCCTAGCCAGCTTATTGGATGTTTTCTCTTACATTGCTGACGTACACAAAAGTTGAAATGTCAAAATATATACATATATTTTTACTAAAAAGTGCTTTCATAGGGAAGTCTGAGGAGACAAAAAATATGAAGAAGGCAAAATCTTAATAATTGATGCTGAGATGGCTCAGGACATGCTGGCATGTTCAGTTGTTATCTCTACCTGTATCCTGGTTGTCTGCTAAACTGAACTGATCTACTTTCTGAGGGAGGAGTGAAGGTAGAAGAGTAGTTGGAAACTGATGTGTTAGAGCTGACTAGTGGGGAGAAAAGAGCTGTGAGGGAATAAATTAATTAACAGGCATTTTATGGATATTTGTTCTCTTGTACTGATATTCCCTTTGTCCTGGTGCAGGGTGAGGTGCAGATGACAAAGAGAGGTTAGTGAATTATTTAAGGTGAGACCCACATCAAAAAATGTGTAATCTTGGACTAGTGGAGTGGCTCAACTGGTAGCCATGCCTGCCTAATAAGCACAAGGCCCTTTAGTTCAACCCATAATACCACCAAAAAAAAAAAAATGCATTCTTGATACAATTTGTAGAAGAAATTAAACTATATGGAAAGTGTTTTGCTTGAGAAGTTTCCTAATATAGATTATCTTTTGAAATGTTAAATTTAGAACCTATATTGGTTGGTAGATTTTTATATTTTTATATTTTATTTTCTAATATTTATACATTTGAACAATATTTTTCCTAATGTTTCACATGTAGTATTATGCTCATCTAGTAAGATTTTAATGCAATTATAAGGAAAAAATTGTAAGAGATTAGGGTATCTATAGGATTGACGTACTGTTTAGTGGTAGACCATATGAGGTTATTCACTAATAGTTCAAAAAGATATTCATTAACATGGTAAATTAAGTTTTAAATTTTTTAAAATTTACTTATGTTTTGGTGGTACTTGGGTTTGAATTCAGGGCCTCCTGCTTGCTAGGCAGGTGCTCTGTCACTTGAGCCACTTCTCCAACCCCAAATTACATTTTTTTTAAGGAGAAAAGAGCATGTGATAGTTAATATAACATTGCCTAATTACTTTTCCCACCCTCAAAAATTTATTTCTTAAATGTTTGCTGGAACAAGCTTTCCAAGTGAAATGATAGGAATTGTGGGGTTTTCTTTGGATTACTTTAAATAATCTATCCTTCCTTTGTTGTTGTGTTTTTTGGTTTTTTTTTTTGAGGGCTTTTTTTCTTTTTCCAGAATTCGGGGGTTGAGTTCCAGGTCCTCATGCTTGCTAGGCAGTTAAGCCAATCTTCCAGTCCCTTTTGATCCTCTTACTTGTGCTTCCTCACATAGCTGGATGACAGGTGCATACCACTCTGCCTGGCCATTGGATGAGATGGGGTCTCATGAACTATTTGCCTGGGTTGGCATCTAACCATTATCCTCCTGATTTCTGCCTCCTAAGTAGCTAGGATTACAGGCGTGAGCCAGTGGGTGTAAGACTTGAGGAACCTTTTGTCTAGGCTAGAGATAGCAGAGAATAAACAATTGAAAGCATGGCTTTCCTCACTGGGCCAGAGGACCCTGTAATGACAATGGCTCCTCATTTGTGAAGGGAGAAAGTTGTAAGAGCTACCTCATTTGTGCTTTGCTAGGTGAATACTCTGACTAGTAATGACAGGAAGAACCCTTTATATACTGGCAATGTGATATACTGACATCAGAGGGACACAAATAGACTGTTCAGAGAGCTATGATGGCTTTTATACTTAAAAACTATAAAAACAAGCCCTTGTTTGAAAGAACCACTAAGACCAAACTATGATTAGCTCAGAGAGTGAAGAGTGCCAGGTGGGCAGGGGAGGTGAGGGCCTCCCAAGCAGAAGAAAGTGTCTGTATGTGAATAGGCACCTGGGAAAGTCCTTGAGGTTTGTGCATTCTGCTTTTTTTGTTACTGTACAAACTAACCTGGCAGAAGCATGTCATGGATCTTTCTAAAAATCTCCAGGGAAGGAAACCGTCCTGAGTCACTAGTTTGATCCACATTTTCTGGTGAAAACCTTAGCAGTGCAATTTCAAATCATGATATTTAAGCTGCCAAAAAAACCATTTTACAATTGGTATGTCTCCTAACCTTTTTACCTTAAAGTAGCTCTACTAGCCTCAAGCAGCCTCTCATCTCCGTGGGTCTCTGGTGGTCTGGAGTTGGCATGAACAGTGACATCTGCCTCTGAAAGATGGAGAGGCTTTTGGGGACCAGGCAGCTGAACTGGGCTATATTTGAGAGCAAAGCTTGAAACTCTGTGTCCTGAGAGAAAGTCAGGGGTTCTTCACTGCAAAATTAGCCTATGGAAGACTGTAAAAGGAATCTGGTTTGTTTTCTCTCTACTGCTCTTGTTCTTCCTCAGTGTAGAATACAATATGCCACTGTGCAAGCTCCAAAACTCATCCTTAATAAGTTCTTTTTTAATTCTTTTTATTGTGCTAGAAAATTGAATCCAGGGCCTCGCATGCTAGACAAGCACTCTTACCACTGAGCTACTTCCCCAGCCCCCGAGTCCTCTTTTAAAATTACAGTATGTTTTGATAAACACAGGTTGTTAGGTTTCTGATGACTCCATTAGTGGAACGTACCTT